CTCTCCTTCCTTCCCTCTCTCCCTTTTCCTCTCTCCCTTGGCCCTTCCCTCTTTTCTCTCTTCTCTCCCTTCTTCCTTCTCTCCCTCCTTCCCTCCTTCCCTTCCTTCTTAGTACTATGATGGGTAACACCTACACAGTGGTCACAGCTCCAGTAGAAGTAACAGGACGTGTCAGAACATTGATGGCAGTAGCAACAGCAGCAGTGAGATGAGCCCCAGTAACTATGGCGCTGCTCCCAAATGTGGCCTGCCGGTGGCTGGCTTAGCACTAGCAATGAAGATAACAGGACTGTACCATTTTGCACACCCAGGGCAGGGCTCGAGGGCTCAGATCCTGAAGGTCTAAGCCCTGACCAAGGGGAGCTCACAGTCCATTGAGGGAGCATGAGACGCACACGGGCGCAGATAAACATCAAAACAGACAAATGAGGTAAGGGCTTGAGGAGAGGGCCAGCACAGTTCTGGGAATTCCGGGAAGGGTGAGATCAGCTGGAATGGTAGAGAAGGTACCCATGGATCTGAGCCATGGAGGATAAGTGGAAGTTTGACAGGCAGGCGTTCAGGAGAGGAGAGAGCACAGCAGGGCCAGGTACTAGTGCATGCAAAAGCCTTTGACCTAGGTGCCCCCGGGATCCTGACTGCAGTAATTACACCATACAAGGTAGAAGGGCTCAGTAATTGCAAACCTGAGTCAGCATGAATGCTGTCTCCTGAGGCAGTTCATTAGACCCTAAAGCACTGAGAGCCATTTTTCCACATGATTTCTAGAGTACAGAGCCTGTCAGGGCCTCTCGGTGCCTCGACCACAGCAGATTTGAAGGGCTCTGAGAACCACAGAGTCCCCGAGCTGGAGGAGGCTTCAGAGGGCTTGTTGGGTCACCCTCGCTAAATCCCCAGATCCCCCTTTCAGTCAGCAAGGGGCTGCTGACCCTCTACTTAGACATCCCCCCAACTCCAATAGGCAACCTTACCCCACAATGGTCTTGTTTTGATTTTGTTAAGCATCATGTGAGATCGGAGACAGAGCTAAGTTCACAATCAGGAAGAACTGTGGTCAGGTCCCAATCCTAGCTGTGTGACTCTAGCCCACTGTCTAATACTCCAAGTTTCAGAGGAAATTCCAACCTGCAACGGCAGAAGGAATTTCCTCCTGGTGCAAGATCCACTTTACGATCTTCCCAGCTTTGAGAATCTGTGGTGAGAACCTTGCTTGTAGGCAAAGGAAAGAGAAGCACCTCCCTGGACCAAGGCAAAGCTGAAGGGAGCTAGAATGGATGCTCGCATTTGGCAGCCAGGCCTTCTTCATCCTCATCCCTGTCCCTTCACAGGCGGTAGGGTGGAAGTTCCTTGAGGGAGGGGCTGCCTGGCTTCCATCTTTGTATGCCCAGTGTCTAGCCCAGGGCCTGGCACAACACCAGGTGCCTAATACATGCTTGTGGAGTGTGTTATCAACTACACCTAGGCTGTTGTGTGGCTGTGCCAGAGAACAGGTCAGAGAGTTTGCTAAGAGTTTACTTATTCCTTTGGTCTCCTGCCTTTCTCTTTACTCCATCAATAGCCAGTAATTCCGGGAGCCCCAACTGTTATCTGTTCTAAGGCTCAAGAAAAGGCCAATTGCCCATAAAGCATCCTCTTCCAAGAAGGGCTTTTTTCCCCTTAATAGAAGGAGCCATATGATGTATAACCCTCCTCTTAACTGCCTGGCAAATCTTTATCTCCTTAATGAAATCCACTAGTCGGGAGCTTTAATCCCAACGCCCAGAGAGCCAACAGCAAATCTCCTATTTTAAATCACAGAGATGAGGGCTCTCTGATTCTCTCCTCTGTCAACAACCAAGGGGAAAAAAAAAAAGTTTGGTGCGGCCTCACTCCTTTCCAATCAAGACCACTTACGGCCTGCTCGCTGTTCTGTTCTCTTTGATCCGATGGGCCTGGAAGATAAGGCCAAGGTTTCAATGGGCCAGTCCTTAAGCTGTTCTATTTTCTTAAAGGCCAGGGAGGAAGGGGCTCACTGCAGATGAATACCACGAACCATGTCTGGGTAATTGAGTGACTCGGCCGGCATCCATCGGTAGCCATGGGGATGAAATACAAATACTGACTTTTGGAGACATTGCGAGGCGATGGGGGTGGGGTGGGAGAGACGCCGCTGCCGCTTTAGCAGAAATGCTGAAGGCCCATAGAAGTAGGAGCTGCCAGCGTGGCTGCCCTGCCAAGGAGAGGACTATGGGGGAGATGAAGGCTAATTCTGTCTCTTGGACCACATGCCATGGGATGCATGAAACCTTTTCTGATTCCCAAACCGCTAGTGCCATCCATCGTAAACTAGCCTGTGTTTATTCACTTTACATCCTTGCTTCATGTATGTTTTATGTGTACTTCTTTTCCCTATTAGACTGTCAGCTCCCTGTGGGTAGGTATTGTTTCATTCTTCGTACTGGTATCCCATGCCTGTTGCTGTGCACTACATAGCTGGTCCCTATCGACTGACTGATGGATTATTGCCTGGTTTCTGGCTCTCCCCAGCCTCCCTTCGAGGCCCATGCCCACTCCCCCCAAACATCACAAAGGAATGTCCTTCTAGGAACACCATTCCACCTGCCTTCCTCCCCTGTTCCTTAGCAGCCCTACCTATGTAGCAACCCCATGCCTGCCCTGGAAGACTGTTGGTTGTTCAGGGTCCAGGGATCTCTAGAACAAACAGGTTACAGTCAGAGAGGTTGTGGGCAAGAGATAAGCAGCTCCCCCTCTGGGAAATAAAGGAGTGGAATGTCCTCTGAGGGTTAGCTGAAGGACCCAAGGATATTTAACCTAGAGAAGCCAGTACTCAGGGGTGGAGGGAGGTGTGACAACGGTGCTCTTAAAATATCTGATGAGCTTCCAGGAGAAAGACCAAATAGACCATCTTTGGTCAGTCTCAGAGGGGAACATGGTGGGTGAGGGGTTGCAAAAAGGCAGATGAAGGTTTGATATTATGAAAAAAAAAATACTTCTCAGGAATGAGAGTTATTTGAAAGTAGAAGCTGCCTATGGAAGTCATGGATTACTGCTCAATAGAAATACTCTGTATGATCCCTTTTGGAGGGTGTTCTAAAGAGGATTCTTATTCAGCTAAATCATGGGTTCTTAAGTTGGGGGACCATAGACACACATACTTTACCTATATGAATATATTTTGCATATACACACACACACACACACACACACACATATATTCTTAACTGTATTTGACATATTGGTTTCTTTTGTCATCTTACATTTTTTGTGACTTGGAACCAGGGGCCATAGGCTTTGCCAGACTTCCAGAGGGGCCAATGACATAATCTGAGCTATTTGTGGGACTAGATGATCTCAGGAGTGTCCTTCAACTCAAGATTCTGAGACTCTGTGTGTGATTTTCCTCAAATCTTCAGCTATAATCCACCCCCCCCCAACATACTCATCCCAAGGGATGGTTCTGTTCATGCTAAGCCCAAACCTCTATATGGACAAATGATGTGAAAATTGGGTTTCTACTGAGTCACAGTGACTCCCACACCAACCCCAAGAGATGTCCCTGCCCATGGCATATCCAAATTCATATATTGATAAATAATGCAAAAATTTGGGGTTTTATAATGAATTTCCACCCTCACTCCTTCCCCCCCCCACACACACACACTTTATCTACGTGGAGAGTTAGTGAAAACTTTGTTCTCCTTTTGTAGCTACAGAACTTGATGGCTGATAGAGTGATGGCCAGGCTTTCGAGTTAGCATTCCCATTCTCCCTTTTACTACAAGGCATAATTGATTTTTCAAAGAAACATCCCCTGTATCTCCCTACAAATGAACCCTTTATTCTTATTCCCAGCAAAGCAAGAATCAAAACATAGCAAATCCATCCATGATAGAGTTTCCATGGTCACCACCATGGGCACTCATGGATCAATAGAGGTTAACACACTGGGGCCAGGTATGCCATGGTCTCCACTGGCTGAATACACCAGTCCACACTGCACAATTATGAGTGGTGCATCGGTGTCCCTGCCCTCAGGGTGGAGGACCCCCATACTTCTAACTGTGAGCCACATCTCATAGCCATTCCAGAGGAAGTTCATGTGACTGGCATGGATGGCAGTGATCCATCTGAAACAACAGCCCTCTTAGTGCCTTTTTTCCCCTTCCCAACAACATTAACTGTCATGCCGGAGAAGTCAGATTGGCCTCCAAGTAGCACTAAACCTTTGATTACATATTGCAGTGAACGAATGTTTTGCTAAGAGTAAAGATCTCAGAAATCATTACTCCACCCCACGTTGTCTTCGAGACATTTCTTGCAATGGGTTATCCTTTGCATTAGGCAATGCACGGCCAGATGATGGCATTTCAATTTCCATACCAATACCTGGCTGAAATACCAAGGCTGATGCTACAGAGAGCCAATTGCTTCTTTTCTGGGAAGGGGGTAGGTAGGTGATAGGAAAAGTCTGGCTTGGGCCATTGCAATCCTCTTCTCAGCCACACTGGGCTAAGTGGCCCGGATCCATCCGCTACCTGACCTTTACAATCATGGAGAATTGGGACAATGCAGAGCCCCTCCACCGAGCCCAGAGAACCGCAACAGGGCTGGCCGCTTACCGTCCACGCAGGCTGGCCGCGCTCTCGTCGTGCCGGCGATCTGTCCTCTTTTACAAGCACATCTAGCAGTCTGCCGTGCAATAGTCCTTCGGGGCTGGCTGCTATCTCTGTCCAGAGTCACAATCTCACAGGTTCCAGCAGCCAACTGACCTGGGAAATGAGCACAAGCAAAAGAACTGGGGTTAGTGAAGGAGACAGCCGGTGGGGATTCCCAGCATGGGCAGGTGAATGTCGCACAGAAGCAACGATGGATGCCATAGCCCAGAGGAGAAGGGATGTCTCATCATCATTCTTGGTGGTAAGCCCAGGAAGGCCATGGAAACCAGGAAATGGTCATTGCCTCATAAATGACACTAAGTTGGCAACAGTCTGGTGACCTTTCTAGTTTATGTAGCTTTGTTTAAGGGACCAACCCCCCTGTTAACCCCCAACCAGTCTGGGCATATTTCCATCCGTGGCACTGCCATTTCCCCAGTAATGAACCAACCCTGGATGAAACCCACCCTGTCAGCTATAGAATGAAATAGCCCAAAGAGAAGAAACAGAATAAAACCAGTTTTTTTCCCCCAATGCCCAAACCTTGAAGCATTTATTGTAAAAAATAAAATACCATCTTGGGAAAGATTCAATTTATGGAACCAAGCATTATGCCCCCTCTCTGTGATTGTAGGCCTGTTAATGACAACAACTTCCATACTATAAAATAGGAAAATAGGTCAAATTCTTCTTTTAAAGCTGTTAAAAGTGGCATTTTCCAAACTACACAGTTAAGAAATCATGCAATTATCCCAGAGCCCCAGACAGCCGTAAAGAAATAATTCTAGATTAAACCAGAGTTGTTACTAGCGGAATAGAGGGCAGTGTGCACCCACATCTCCGCCTGCTCCCTCTCTTGTGAGCCAGGCAGCCTATCCTCTCCTGCTCCCCATACAAAGGGGACTAGCGTTCACTGTACCCCGTACAGGGTGGACTAGTGGCACTGATTAAGCATTTATTAAGGCATTGACGGTAGCAAGGTAACTGCTGCCCCCAAGAAGCATCCATTCTAGCAGGGGAGACTAGAGGTGCATGCAGCATCCAGAAGAAAAGACAGAGAATAGACCCAAAAGGAACTCAAGGTCATTGGGAGAGGAAGGGAGAAGAGAATGGGAAGCACCCTTTACTTCATGGCTCATGAAGGACTAGTGAGATTTGGGGAGCCAAAGATGGGAGTTCGAGACCCTACTTAGCCACTATTTGCCTAAGTGACTGAAGGTAAGTTATTTCCCCCTCTGGTCTCAGTTTCCTCTTCCATTAAATGAGGCTGTTGAACCACATGGTTTCTAAGCTCCTTCCCCATCTGCCAGTGGAGGCTCATGTTCATGGCTGTTTTTGATGGCAAATAACCTTTTTTATTGGCTTTTCTGATCCACAAGCTTTGTTGTAAATCCTGGCAAAGAAACCTAGTTACTGAGAACTGCTGATTGGAGGGGAATTGATGAGAGCTGCCTGATGAAATTCATATGCCAATAAACCTTTTTTTATTATTCAGAATGCTGCCTTTCTCTACAGAGTGGAAGGAAGCCTAGGCTGCTCATGGCAAAACATTAAGCCCAACCAAGAAATATGGCACCCATTTTCTACAATCAGACTGGGCCAAGGCAACTCCCCTAAAGGGACAGGGGTTATCATTCCCCTTAGCCCGAACTTCCGTTGACTTGTATCAGTATGTAAAACCGATAAGAGGTGCCTTGGTAGGTAGTGAGCACCCTGTCTCTGGAAGGTAGCACCAAGAGGAAGAAGGACTACTTGCGTTCCATGACCTTGAAAGTCTATTCCAACTCAGACGCCCCTACCTACATCATTTTGTCGCCATTTCACAGGGGAAGAAGGAGGAAACAATCTGAGCACAAATGTCAAGTTTATAGATCTCAGACTGGAAGAGACCTCTGAGGACATTTAATCCACCTCCCTCAGTCAACGAATGAGGAAACTGAGGCTTGGATTTCCCAACTAAGAAACTGTAAAGACTGGACTGGGTTACAGTCCTCCGCTTCCAGAGAAATGATAGGTGGGAATCTTGTTTTATGTGTTAGGCCAGAAGTTCTTTTTTTTTTAATTTTTAGGCAATTGGGGTTAAGTGACTTGCCCAGGGTCACACAGCTAGTAAGTGTCAAGTGTTTGGTGTGAGGTCGGATTTGAACTCAGGTCCTCCTGACTTTTTGGTTGGTGCTCTATCCACTGTACCACCACGCTGCCCCAGGCCATGAGTTCTTTGAGGGCAAAAGCTGGGCTGTGTTTACCTTTGCATCTCCAGGGCCTGGCAAAGTAACCTACACACAGAAAGTGCTCAATGTGTGCTCATTAACTACCAGTGTCTGGAGCTGCTCCAGGTCTTGGGTACGAGTAAGGCCAAAGACCCCTTCTTCCCATGAAGAAAGCCAACGACAAAAGATGGGCATTGACAAGCCCATTAAGTTGAAGTCATTACGACTAAAGAGAGTGGAGTCAAATTTTACTTGTCATGTCACTTGCCGTCTGGATGGCCCTGGGCTCAATTTATTATTCCATGGGGCTTGCATTAGATCAGGGGTTTTAACCTTTTTTTGTGTGTCACAGGCCTTTTCTGGTGAGGTGTGGGAAAGTCAATGGGTCCCTTCTCAGAATTGTGTTTATGGATCGCTGGGTAGCATAATGGGTAGAACACAAGACCAGAGTTCAAATCCAGCCTCAAACACTTACTAGCTTGGTGACTCTGGTCATTTAACCTCTGTCTGCCTCAGGTTCCTCCTCTGCAAAATGGGGATAAAAATAGCATCAAGAGGATCAAATGAGAAAATAATTATAAAGCATTTGGCATAGTACTGAGCACATAATAAGTGCTATATAAATGTTAACTATTATTGTTGTTGTTGTATGTGGCAGCTAGGTGGTGTAATGGCTAGAGTCTGACTTCTAATCCAGCCTCAGATCCTTACTAGCTGTGACCCTGGGCAAACCATTTAGACTTTGCCTGCCTCAGTCTCTTCAATTGCAAAATGATGACAATAATAGCCATGAGCAAGTCATTTAACCTCTGTTTCCCTCAGTTTCCTAATCTGTAAAATGAGAATAATTACAGCACTAGCCCCCTGGGTTGCATCTGCAAAGCACTTAGCCTGCTCAGAGGTGTCAAACAGGAGGCCCAGGCCACACTGCAGCCCCAGCACTCTTCAGTGAGGTCCAAATCATAGAAGAATCACCCTTGGGAAATATTTATCAAAATAATAAAGCCACAGTAGAACAGAGATAATATGTGGCGTTCTAAGTCGATACACAGCCTCAGGATTCAGCTGGGGGGCATCCTTATGTATGAGCTGGTGGCTCCATTTCTATTTGAGTTTGAAGCCACTGTGTCAGCCTGGTACACTGAACCCAGAGCCAAGGGCCCTGGTTCAAAACTCAGCTCTGCTATTCCACGCCTGTGAGACCTAGGGCAAGTCAGTAAACACCCCGCCAGCTCGGTT